CGAGGGAATTTTGTGCAGCATGCAGACAGCCTCCTAAACTGAAAAAAAGGACTGGGAATATGTCCTCCTTACTGTTACCTCCCAAAGGCCTAGACCCATGCAAGGTATACAGTGGTGCTCATATATACTCAATGAATAAAGAAAACTGTGTATGTGTTCTTACTTTTATTCAGAAACTCTCTTCTTCCAAAGTTAGGTGAACATCTAATTTTATCAGCCAAAATTTTATATTAAGTACCATACAAAGAGACATTTAATCGTTTAGAGAAACACGTGTATATATGTACAAGAATTCTTGTGTAAAGAGAATTTACCCCATGAATGCTCCCTCCTGTATGTCTATGTGGATCATGTCAGATTTTCTTAGAGTCAGAACATCCGCTATCTACAAATTACAAGTTAGATAACAGCTCACTCCACTTAAAATTCAGAAGAAACCCAATAGCCAGTTCTTACTCAAATTCTTGGGTCAGTGAAATGAAACCCTTTTCGGCCATCAGCATGGTTCTGCAGTAGTGTGGCCTGATTCCATTAAAACTGTCTACTTGGTAGCCAGGCTTGGTGGCTCAGCCTGTAGTCCCATGCTTTGGGAGGCTGAGGTGAGTGAATTGCCTGAGCCTGCAGGTTCGAGACCTGCCTGGGCAACTTGGCGAGACCTCATCTCTACAATAAATAAGAAAATTAGCCAGGCGTGGTAGCGCGCGCCTATAGTTCCAGCTACTTGGAAGACTGAGTCGGAAGGATCGCCGGAGCCCAGAAGGTCGAGGTTGCAGTGGCCAGGAGCGTGCCACTGCACTCCAGTCTGGGCGACAGAGTGAGACTCCAACTCAAAAAAAAAAAAATTGTCTACTTGTTGCTAAGAACCATGCTACATTTTTCATCATCTTATTTAATGATCACAGCAGTTTTGAGAATGCATCACTCTTCCATTTTATACATAGATCATCTGAGACTTAAAGAGATTGAGAAGACAGTGAAAAAAAAAGCTAGAGTCTAAATGCCAGATTGTTCTATGCTACCTTGCTCTTGGGGAAACTTCTAGACAGAACCTGAGTGACCCCTGCTAGATAATCACATCGGCAGGGCTTCAGATGGCCTTAATAGATCACTGGTTCTCTCGATCTTAATAACCATGTGTTCTGAGATGAAGGAAAGGTGAGGTACACCAAGGAGTGATTAACCCTCGCTGAAGAAATTTGCATCTGTACTTAAGAGTGAATGGTGCTGGGCTCGGTGGCTCAGCCTGTAATCCTGTGCCTTTGGGAGGCTGAGGTGAGTGGATTGCCTGAGCCCACGGGTTCGAGACCCGCCTGGGCAACTTGGCGAGACCTCATCTCCACAATAAATCAAAAAATAAGCCAGTCGTGGTAGCGCACGGTCGTGGTAACCTGTAGTTCCAGCTACTCGGAAGGCTGAGGCGGAAGGATCGCTGGAGCCCAGCAGGTCGAGGCTGCGGTGGCTGGGAACAGCCACTGCATTCCAGTCTGGGCGACAGAGTGAGACTCCCACTCAAAAAAAAAAAGAGTGAATCTTTCTGGGGCACTTAGGTGTGGGAGCGGGAGGGAGGCCTGAATATTGGTGAATGTTCATGAATTCTCTTGAAACTTTAGGAAAAGTATTTGGTGAGCCCACAGCACTTTCTAGGCCTGGTGCTAGGTGCTTTCTGCCATGACTCATGCAATCCTCATAGCAACGCTATATGTTGTGACGTTAGCACCATGTCTTTATTTTAGATAATTTGCTCCAAGTCTTACCAGTTAGTGAATGGCCAACCAGGATCTCAAACCCAGGACAGTTTGACAACCTGAGCCATCTCTCCTGACACTAGGCCTAATCACCCCGCCCCCAGAATCCAAAGGCAGGAGCTTTCCAAGAGGGGCTTGACAAGAGATGGAATTTTAACTTGGAAAGTGACTCAGAGAGTGGCCAAGGGAAGTAGATTCAAATGATAAGATGATCTGTCATCCCACCAGCACTATACCGTGTATCCACAGGGATTGTGGAGAGGTAAACTCGCCCATGACTCTTACATTGAATGACGTCAATGCTTTTTACAGGCTTGTCTTGATGTGAAGTGACTACAGGATAACCCTACTGAGCTGGGGATCGCCCATGGCCGTAATGGTCAGCCATGTATCTGCATGTATGTACGTGTGTGTATATATAAGTGTGTGTGTCTATTTTCAAACTGTGATCTCATATTTAAACATCTCTACTGCCATTTTTGTGAGTAAAACTATAGACAAAGAACAGTCTTGGAATTTTCTAATAGAGGAAAAACAGCACATGGGTACTCTGTCACGTTTTACCACCGTCTTCATTTTTCTCATGATTTGTGCAGTGTGGAGTGTGTTTGCTCTGTGTGAAAGGTTTTCATTGCTTAATTTCTCTGTTTATGGCTTTTCCCCTTAAAGTAATAAATCATCAG